CATTTTTCAGAAAGAAAATATCAAAAATATTAGGTACGATGACAACAAAAATCCTAGAATCACAAACCTAGGCTCTGATACCAAAACTTGTAGCAACCCCTTTGGGAGGGTGCTACTTACGAAACAAATATAATTTACTACTTACAACATAAAAAAGATATTAATTACAAAAAATATTCAGAATAATTTAGTAGCAGAAATAGGTCCATGTGGTGAGGTTCAAAGTGCAATATTTTTATTTTTGAAAATACTCTTCATTTCATTTTTTCTTAAAATGAAATACAATGTCAAAATATCAGCATAAGATGATATAACCCTTTTTTTTGAATAGTCAACACTTTAAAGCAACTTTCTAACAAAATTATAATTTCATTCAACATCACTGCACGTTTATATTGTACATAAATTTCAAACTGTCGGGTATAAAAAGGAAAATTAGTTTTCTCCTTTGTACATATTTACAAGACAAAGTGTAAATTCAGCATATTACAAGACTTGAGTTATTAACAGACCCTAAAACAGCAAAATAAGTTACCAAATTCAAGTTACAAGATTTTGGTCAACAAGCCTCCTAATAACATACATAAGTGTGACATATATATCATGTACATGTCCCAAAACTGTACAAAATCATGGTGCATATGCAAATGTGATCTCCATAAGTGCTCCCAAAAAGACTACTTCATAAGGCCGTATTCAAATGTTATCCCGTACATTACCTACGATAGAAAACAACTATCGCTAATCATAAACCTTAGTGTCGTATAAACTTTAGGCTTGGAGCCATTAACTTCTCCAATTCCCATTTTCAATCATAGGTAGTTCAAATGAAACATAATTTAACACAAGTGAACAAATATATCAAAAGTATCAAATATCAACTCTTGAAGTGTTTCCAAATATCAATAACAATGTTCAAGATTCAAGAGTTGAGAAAGCATATACTATCAATCCAAGAGAGTTTATCAAATATCCATTTTTCGCACAATGTGTACGTCATGCCATCACACTAAGCAAAATTAGATATCAAAATGGGCCGAAACCCCAAATCAAGTAGGGTCAAAACCCAATAGTCAAAAGAATCAAGAACCATATTAAAAATGGCTTCCTAATTCGTACTTAACATGGACAAGTTCCATTATTTAAGACGAAGTACAAATCCAAAGTCACGATGGCAAAAGATCCAAATCAAGAAGCATGCCAAGATGAGTGACAAGGTCACTGCCACAAGAAGGATAATGTCCCAACAAGAATGCAAAATGATCAAACAATCCGTACGAGTGGGCGATTTAGAAAATATCTTGCAATACTTAATATAACACGAATATAATGCTATTAATTGAAGACATGAAAAACAAAATATCAGGTTATTTCAAAATATTCCAGCAAGTAAAAAGAGTACAAAGTTTATACACAAACCTTGGTGTTTTACCACAATACACTTCAACCACAACTTGAGGACGTTCTAATTGTCTATGCCATAGACAAACCAAATGTGTCCACTTCCTTAAATACTTCCCCTTAGATTTTACAAGGGTATATATACCTTAAATACATAATCAAATATCTATATAAGTTCAGTGATTTAACATGTCAAACTAAACATGATATTGGTGAAAATTACCGAAAATGTTTGAAACAGAAATTCTGGACAGTATCACTGTGTCGTATTGTGACTCAGATTTGATGATGAAAAAGGACAAACTAGGTTGTTTTCACGACCGGAAATTCCCACCGTCGGGACCGTGATGGCGCCTAACATTTCACTTGCTAGGCAAGCCAACGTTAGAGAATCATTAGACCAAATCCATATTTTCCATTCAGTCAATAACAATAATTAGCTAAGATAAAATATAATAAGTGTGGAATAATATAAAAACTGCCTTAATTACTACCACTTGGATCTGGAGTCACAATCCACGAGCATTCTAGAATTTACTACAAGTAATAGTCTGAAAGAAATACAATATTCTGAATGAAAGAAATATAATTGTCTGAATGAAAGAAACAGTAGAACAAAAAAGATAGACAGCGACTTCAAGGTCTGTGAACGCCGACAGATCTACCTTGAGTCTCCGGACAGCGGACCAATAGCATAATCTCGATCAACCCGAACCGGTATCAAAATCTACACAAAAAGTGCAGAGTGCAGTATCAGTAAAACCGACCCCATATACTGGTAAGTGTCGAGCCTAACCTCGATGAAGTAGTGACGAGGATAAGGCAAGGCACATACAAATCAACCTGTAGAATTTAACAGTGTATTTGCAAATAACAGAAATGAAGAACTAAACAGGAAATGTCAGGAGGGGAACATACTGAGGGGAATACCAGATAAAGAACTATAACAGAATGATCACCGGAGCAGTCAATATACCATGAATCAACATGAATAGTGAATACAGTAAGGAAAAATACACGGCATCACCCTTCGTGCTTTTACTCTCAATCTCACCATAAAATTAATAGAAACGGCACGGCATCACCCTTCGTGCATTAACTCTCATATCATGGCACGGCATCACCCTTCGTGCATTAACACTCACAATATGACACGGCATCACCCTTCGTGCATTAACACTCACAATATGGCACGGCATCACCCTTCGTGCATTAACACTCACAATATGGCACGACATCACCCTTCGTGCATTAACACTCACAATATGACACGGCATCACCCTTCGTGCATTAACACTCACAATATGGCACGGCATGACCCTTCGTGCATTAACACTCACAATATGGCACGACATCACCCTTCGTGCATTAACACTCACAATATAGCACGGCATCACCCTTCGTGCATTAGCACTCTCCCTTACCATAATGCAATGCATAAATAATAACAGGGAGATAGAATAACAAGTACAAAACTTATTTCAACATTTGGTTCCATAATATTAATCTTAACTTTGAAATAAAAACTCAATTATCACCAGAAAATCCGTAAACATGATAAGAGCGATAAATTGAACAACACTAGTATAACACGTAGCAATTTGGCATAGGAATGGGACAATATAAGAAAAACAGAGAAACATGAATTTGATTATTTAAGTTATGGTTACGGCTTTTGGTACAGCTTGTTCAGACTTATGCGTTATGTAGATGCGAACTTCTGATCTTATTGGAAATTTCGGATGTTGGAAAGTTAATTCGAGAGAAATTTCAGTTATGATGTGCGATCGGACCTGTATGGGATAGGGTGACGTGGGATCACCCCTGGGTATGTGCATGGGAATGTTACACAGTGATTTGATGGCTTTTGGAACAACTTTGGGCACGTTCGAGGACGAACGTATATTTAAGTGGGGGAGGATGTAACGACCCGACAGGTCGTTTTGAACATTTGCACTTCGCTTGGTTGTTTGATGGCATGAGTAGCTCCGTATGATATACTTTGACTTGTGTGAATCATCGTTTTTGGTTTTGCAGGTATTTCAGAATCAAATTGGAAGAAAGAATTTCATTGTTGAAGCTTTAAATTGTGTGAGTTGACCAAGTTTGGATTTTTAGCATTTGACCTCGGATTGGAATTCTGATGGTTCCATTAGCTTCGTTAGGTATTTTGGACTTAGGAGCGCGTCCGGAATGTGATTTGGTGGTCCGTAGTGGAATTAAGCTTGAATTGGCGAAAGTTGGAAATTCGGCGATTTCGGTCGGCAATGGAAAATTTTGATATCGGGGTCGGAATGGAATTCTGGAAGTTGGAGTAGGTTTGTAGTGTCATTTGTGACATGTGTGCTAAATTTGAGGTCATTCAGACGTGGTTTGCTGGGTTTCGGCATCGGGTGTGAAATTCGTAAGTTTAGAAGTTCTTAGGCTTGAATCCGAGGGTAATTTGGTGATTTTTATGTTGTTTTGAGTGATTCGAAGGTTCGACTAAGTTCGTATGGTGTTTTAGGATTGGTTGGTAGGTTTGGTTTAGGTCCCGAGGGCCTCGGGTGTGTTTCGGGGTGAGTTTGAGCGAGTCCGGGCATTTCCGAAACTCAGGTATTGTTCTGGTGCTTGGAATATACATGAATATATCAATGATGTCATCATCTGATTAGTACTTTGAGGTGAAATTTGGGAAAAATTGTAGAAACTTCATAAAATAAAATTTTGGGATTTGAATGTCGATTCGAAGTCGGATTTGAGTGAAACTAGTATGGTTGGACTCGTGAGTGAATGGGTATTCGTAATTTGTGACTTTTACCCGATTCTGAGATGTGGGCCGAGGAGCCGGGTTTGAGCCAATTTCGGGTTTTGGGCTAATTTGATAGTTTTTCTTGTGGAATTCATTCCATTAGCATATATGGATGGTATTGTACTGATTGTGAATAGATTCGGGCAAGAGCACTGCGGAGTAGGGACTTGATCGGTTTAAGGTAAGTAATGATCGTAAATCCAGTCCTGAGGGTATGAAACCTCAGATTTTTGCATCATTCTACTATTTCGAGGTGACGCACGGGCTAGATGACGGGCGTGTAGGTGTGCACTGTTGGAGATTGTGACTTGGTCCGTCCCGTAGCAACTGTAAAGTTACATATTTTTTGTTGAAACTATATGATACTTATATGTTTTAGAAAGAGTTAATGTAAATTGGGTTGAATGCCATGTTTTGGGCCTTGTGCCAGTGTTGTGTGGACCTTGGGCCTTTTCTTACTATCCTCTCACTGTTTTCGATTGATAGTCTATTTGATGCATATAAATGTTTTGATTTAATGCATATAAATGTTGTTTTGGGTTGAATACCCTGTTTTCACTAAAATGCCCGAGTGGCTTGAGAGGTTTATGACTGAGTGAGGCCGAAGGCCTGATTTGTGAGGATATTTATGAGATCGGGCTACACGCCGCAGCATGTTTGATATAGGCTGAGGGCCTGAGTGATTTATGCCATGATTTGGGTTGATATAGCGCTTGGGCTGAAGGAGCCCCGCCGGAGTCTGTACACACCCCTAGTGAGCGCAAGTACCTACTGAGTGCGAGTCCCGAGTGCTGAGTGACTGGGATGCATGAGTGATTGTGAGGAATGCACGAGTGGCACGGGTGATTGTGAGGTATGCCCGAGTGGTATTAGTAACTGTTAGTTATGCCTGTTTGATCTCTTCTAATTCTTACTAATAATTCCTAACAACACAAGATAGTTGCAGTAAATTACTTGTCTGAGGGAAAAATATAAAGTTGTATAGGTCGCGACCCACTAATTCTTACATACTCAAAGTTGGAAGTTTATATAGCTCTAAACCCCTTTAAGATTTCTCTTCAATATTTTAGTACCCAAATTTTATTGAGTTGTGTTTTATTGACTTTATTTTATTTGTTTGTTGATTGTAGGACATCTTTATTGCTGGAAGTGAAACTTCATCTACTACAATTATTTGGGCATTGTCGGAAATGATGAAGAACCCAAATATTATGGCTAAGGCTCAAAGTGAAGTGAGACAAGTCTTTAAGGGAAAAAGAAATGATGAAGAAGATCTTGAAAAGTTGACATATCTAGACTTAGTGATTAAGGAGACATTAAGGCTTCATACTCCATTTCCTCTTCTGCCCAGGGAATGTAGGGAGCAAACAGATATTGATGGATACACCATACCTCTTAGGACTAGAGTGCTAGTCAATGCATGGGCACTTGCGAGAGATCCAGAAAGTTGGAATGATCCTGAATGTTTTATACCAGAGAGATTTGAGAATTCTCTTATTGACTATATGGGAAATTTCTTTGAGTTTATTCCATTTGGTGCAGGAAGAAGGGCTTGTCCGGGAATGCAATTTGGTTTAGCTAATGTTCGACATGCATTGGCGCAGTTACTCCACCATTTTGAATGGGAACTCCCATATGGAACTAATCCAAAAGATTTGGATATGACTGAATCACATGGATTAAGTGCAGCGAAACAACAAGATTTATATTTAGTTGCAATAAATCATAGAAACGATGAAGAACTTTGATGTTTTGCTTGAAATGGTGAAATGTCGTTAGCTCGGCCTACACAATTGTATTCTTCATCTGCTTCTCGCTTGGTTTATGTATGTGTATTCATTTGGATCATTGAAGAATGCCAAGAAAATGCCCAAAGAATAAGATCATCCATAGTTGATTATATGGTTTTGCTTCAATCCGGTCGAACCAAATAAATAATTTGTTCCCCAATGTATTGTAAGACATGTTGAGAGCTTTGGTTTTATTTTCTCAAAGACATGTTTATGCTCTACAACCCAGTTCTAGTTAAAAATATTAAATGATATCCCTTTACCAAAATAAATATCTAAAATAGATTTAAAACTAATTGAAGAATTAAGAAGTAAATAGTAATCTAATTGTCATGACCCAAAATCCTTACCCGTCGCGATGACGCCTAACACACCGGCTAGGCAAGCCAAAACATGATAATAAAGGCAACAAAATAACAAAATTTATAGAAATAGCATATGTGTGAGTTCAAAATACAATAAAACTGCTAATACAAAGTAAATCCCCTGAAACTGGTAAGTACGGAGTCACGACTTTCTACAATGGAATACAAGTCTGAAACTGAACAATCAATACACTGTCTGGACTATAACAAAATTATGAAAGGAAAGGACAAGTCAAACTGCGACCAAGGATGCAGCTCTACCCCGCCTTTAGCAGATAGTCCAACAAGCAAGCCTACGGCTGATAACTGGTCCCCACACCTGGACCTGCACAATTAAATGCAGAGTGTAGTACGAGTACAACCAACCCAATGTACTCAATAAATATCGTAAATAAATACGGCAAGGTAAGAGATGCACAAATTATTAATGATACTAGTTATCACATGTGTAGTTTCATCTTTTGACCTGGTACAGAACAATATTTGAATCAAGTCATAAAGTTCAGTAAGAAAACATATGTGTGTGTATGTGTACAAATTATCAAATACCTTGCTTAGTCAATATCTTGACATATAGAGATGATATGCAGTTAAATCAGATAAATGATCAAAGAAATTGCAAGTAAAGATGAAATGAAAAATCCAACAAAATATTGGCCAGATTTCCTCAACTTTTTCATATCCGTTCCAAACCACTGATCAGTATTCTCAATAACTACGTGTACACCATCAAGAGAGAAATATGATAGGGTGACCCTAGGGGTATAGATCCATATTCACACGCAAGCACGACCAATTCACCATGCTACCACCCCGACGTAGTCACAAGCTCAATATCATAATCTGCCCTGCGTGGCAACATGCATTATAGTATAATCCGCCCGACGAGATCACAAGCATAACAATATTTATCGCCCAATGTGGTCACAGGCATAACAATACAATTCGCCCGACATGGTCACATGCATAACAACACAATCCGCCCGGCGTGGTCACATGCGTAACACACACAATCTGTCTGGCGCGGTCAGATGCACCCAGTCCAATCATAACATACACGAGCAAATAAACAAGTATACATGTATGAGCTCTAAACTATGTCGATCTTTTTGGGTTCAACTTTAATACCCTCGCCTGATACAATAATTCACAAAATAATTATAGAGTCTAGAAAACACTCACACTTAGAGAACTTAGCATATAGGTTTTGTTCCCGCAAGGTCTGAAGCACCACTCTCATATGCTGCTCGTACTCCTCCTTACTGAGCGAGTAGATCAAAATGTCATCAATGAAGACAATGACAAACGAATCAATATATAACCTGAACACCCTGTTCATCAAATCTATAAATGCCGCCGGGGCATTAGTCAAATCGAAGGACATTACTAGAAACTCATAATGACCATATCTAGTCAGCAAAGCAGTCATCGGAACATCCGAACCCTGAATCTTCAATTGATGGTACCCCGATCTCAAGACGAGCTTAGAGAACACCCTAGCACCCTACAACTGGTCAAATAGATCATCAATACACGACAACAACTAGTTGTTCTTAAATGTAACTTTGTTTAATTGGCGATAATCAATACACATCTGCATTGTCCCATCCTTCTTCTTCACAAATAATACAGGTGCGCCCCAAGGCGACACACTGGGTCTGATGAACCCTTAGGCTAGTAGTTCCTCAAGCTGCACTTTTAACTCCTTTAACTCTTTCGGAGCCATGTGATACAGTGGGATAGATATAGGCTGGGTACCTGGAGCCAAGTCAATATAGAAAATAATATCATGATCGGGTGACATACCTAGAAGATTAAAAGGCAACACATCGGAAAACTTTTGGACTACGGGCACTGAATCAATCACCAGAGTCTCCGCAGTAGTGTCCCGAACGTAGGTAAAATAAGCCAAAAAATACTTCTCGACCATGTGTCGGGCCTTCAGAAAGGAAACAACCTGACTAGATGCACTCGCAAACGAACTGTTCCATTCTAATCTAGGCAACTCTGGCATCGCCAAGGTAACAGTCTTGGCATGGCAATCTATGATGGCGTGATACGGAGATAACCAATCCATGCCCAGGATGATCTCAAAGTCGGTCATATCAAGCAGCAAAAGATCTGCTCTAGTTTTGTAACCAATGTAGGACTGGTAGATTCGATCCACAACAACAGAATCGCCCACAGGAGTGGACACATAAACAAGAGTACCCAAGGGTGCACAAGAAACACCCAGGAAATGAGCAAATAGAGATGACACATAGGAATATGTATACCCTGGATCAAATAATGCAGAGGCATCTTTGCCGTAGACATAAATAATACTTGTGATCACGGCATTTGAGTCCTCTACATCTGGTATGTCTAGAAAAGCATAGAACCGAGTTGGAGCGCCACCTTACTGGCCTCCACCTCTAGGACGGCCCCTTCCCATCTGCCCTCCACCTCTGGGCGGTCGGACGGTCGGTGGAACAACTAGTGCAGTAATCATGGGCAGCTGACCCTGCTGCACTTGCCTACCCTATAGCCTGGGGAAAAATCTCTGCATATGACTAAAATCTTCGCACTTGAAACAACCCTCGGTATGATGGATTGCTGACCTGAAGTCTGGCCCTGATGACCTGAATACCCACTGGAAGAACCCTGAATAGTTGGTGGGCGGTAAGAACTATCTGGCATAACACTGAATTAAGGTCACACTAGAGCACCCCGAGGAAGTGGTGGTGCTGGGTATGGGGGTCTGCTAGACTGGCCTCTCATGAATTGACCTCTACCCCCACACGGGGCAACTCTAAACTCTCTAGAATATCTAAACCACTTATCTCTCATAACCTACTCTCGACTATGATAACGCACAACCTTAATCCTCCATGCTATCTCTACAACCAGCTCAAAAGAAGTCACCATCTCAACCTCTTGGGCCATAGTGGCCTGAATACCAGTGTGCGAATCGGCAACAAACCTCCACACTCTCTCTAGATCAGTAGGTAATATCATAATTGCATGGCAAGAAAACTTATAGAACCTTGCCTCACAATCTGTCACTAATATCTAACCCTATTGGAGTTGCTCGAACTGGAACCCCAACTCTTCCCTCTAGGATGGTGGAATATACCTATCCAGGAAGATACGGGTGAAACAGTCCTAAGTCATGGGAGGATAATCTATTGGTCTGCCAAGATGATAGGACTGCCACCATCTACGGGCCCTACCCTTTAGCCGAAAGGTAGCAAAGTCTACCCCATGGGACTCCAATATCGTCATGTTGTGCAGTCTATCCCTGCATCGATCAATGAAGTCCTTGGGATCCTCATGTCGCTCTCCCACAATGATAGGAGGATGTAACCTGGTCCATTTAACCAATAGCTTCTGCGGCTTGCCGGCCGCAACTTGTTTTGGCTCAGGTGTAGCTGTTGCCACTGGTTGGACTCCACCCACAGGTAGTGCACCATGGGTTTGATATACCACTGCTGCATTCCCATGAGCCTACGCGATAAGGATCTGTGCTCCCCCTCCCGCCTGAGATATGGTTGGGTCTGCCGGGAATAAATCGGCATGAGTCATGGTATCCATGAACCACATCATACGGCCTATGACCTCCTTGAATCCTAGTGCGGACTTGAAATTCATAAGAGCTGGCTCTGCGGCAGGCACCTCGCACCCTACCAAGGGCAGGATCCCTCCCTCGACCTTTTCCTCGGCCACTAACAATAAGGAGAGCAACTCTTCCCTGGTTTGGAACCTCCGTAGAGCGCGTTCTCATCATTTATAAGAGAATAAGAGAAAGATACTTAGTACTACATCAACGACACGATAGGAGATGAATAAAGTAAGTTTCCTAAATCCCTAAAGCCTCTCGAAGATAAGTACATACGTCTCCATACCAATTCTCAATACTCTATTAGGCATGCTCATAACTTATGAGACCTACATGAATGTAGTGCTTTGATACTATGTTGTGTAATGACCCAACCGGTCATTTTAAGAGTTGTAGCCCCATTCCCCCATTTACTACTCTTTATGTACTTTATAGCTATGTTATGACATGCCGGAACAGTCCATTCGAGTCCGGAGAGATTTCGGAATGAATTGAGATATTTAGTCTCAAAGGTGAAAACTTAATTTGAAAAGGTTAACCGTATATTGACTTATGTGTAAACGAACACGGAATAGAGTTTTTATTAATCCAATAGCTGTGTATGGTGATTTTCGACTTAGGAGTGTGTCCGTAAAATTATTTGGAAGTCAGTAGCTAAATTAGGCTTGAAATAGCTAAAATAAAAATTTAAGTTTGGAAGTTTGACCAGAGAGTTGACTTTTTGATATCAGAGTCGGAATCCGATTCTGAAAATTTTCATAGCTCCGTTATGTCATTTATGACTTGTGTGCAAAATTTGAGGTCAATCGAAATTGAATTGATATGTTTCGGCATCGAGAGTAGAAGTTAGAATTCGTTAGTTTTGTTTAGCTTGAATTGGGATATGATTCGTGGTTTTAGCGTTGTTTGATCTGTTTTGAGGTTTCGACTAAGTTCGTATGATGTATTACAAATTTTTAGAGTATTTGGTTGAGGTCCCGGGGGACTCGAGTGAG